TGTCTGGGAACCGAGCCTACCTGCGCGCGTACCACGCGGGCATGCCGGCGATCTATGCCCAGAGCGAGGTCTTCGACCTGTTGCCGTCATCTGTGCTTGAGCTTTAACCTCAACTCTGTGAGAATTGTTTTCCGAGATGGGCTGGTCGTTGCAAGCCCTTGGGCCCTTTTCCAGTCTTCAATGTATCTTGATCGACTGATGGTATGATACGGGATATACAAGAAGGAGAAGACATGACGAAACCGAAGAGAGACACCAAAGCAAAAGCATCAAAATTAACAATTTGAACTATATAATGAGAGAAAGAGAGAAATTTAGCTCTTAGAAGTCATCATTATTAGGAGTATTGACGTACTGGGTGACGGCGGCGGAATTTAATTACGTGGTAAGGGATGATTGTTGCAGAAGACATATCTAATTTGCTTCCAGGGCGTATAATAGGTAGAATGAAGTGTCTACTGTTGTTGAGAGAAGTGTTTTAAGGAGGTGAAGGGAATGATTGGCACAGAAGAGGAGAGTAAAAACCAAAGCAAAGTACCTTTGTGAAAAGCCCTCCGTATGGATATTTTACTCTTGCTTACTGGTCTCGGCAAGTGTCTGTCCGAGCCACACCACGCACAGCTAAAAATATCGTTCTTAAAATTATTATGGACAGGCTTTTCACGCTATCCGGTGTCGGCAAGTGATACATGAAAGCATACTCACTTACCTGGCTATGATTTAATGATTGCCCGCTTGAGTACTAACAGATCAATAGCATCGCCTTTCTGTGGAAGCTTGCTTAGCAGTAGTTACACATTGTCGCTCTTTCTGCGTTACTTCGACAAGCCAAATTCTGGGTAAGCAGCTTTTAGATGAGTTTGTGGTGCATAATAGTCAAATACAGTTTAATGCTTCTTTATTGTGGAAACTTCGCTCTTTACGATTCAACGCGATGACGCGGATCTCATGGACGTAGACAATGCCTAATGAAATTTCTTATTGGCTCAATAAGTGATGTATTTGTGAAATTGGTGTGCTGATTGAGGATTAAATAGCCTCCCCTTTCTTGTCGGTGGCGAACTGCGACGCAGGTTGATTAGATGAGTAGTCCGAGCGTAAACAAGAGCCTTAAAAAAATACAGCTGGCTCCTCTTAAGTTCGGAGACTATATTCTTTAAAAGGCGACCACTTGAGTCTGAGAATGCAAAGAAAAGGGGATACAAAGTCGAGCTTGAAAAAAGAACAACAAAAGTTTTAAAGTTATGTAAAAGTGGGGGGACGGAATGTCTTTCGCGCTTATCCAGACTCCTTCTGGAAACTGCCGTGTGCCTCACGTCCCTTCAAATCATTCAATGAAATTCACTTTTCAATGAAAGTATACGCTCACAGCCGCCTTTCGTAGCATGCATCCCTTCACTCCCAGCCTCCCCAAGCTGAACTCCCTCGGCTGCCATGAGTCGCCGTTGTGGACAGCTCAGACTTCTGCGATCAACTTGCGATGAGACACTCACCACAGCTAAAAGGCTATGTATCATGCAATGATCCAAACGCACGACGTGTGTCGATGCGATGCCCAGAATATTATTCAAACCCCTCAGTTCGGCATTGAGGTCGCCGTTACTTGACGTTAGGTTCCGTTGGAATTCAAACAAATTTCACGAGAGAAATAAACCATTTGGTTCTGGGTCCCGGGAGAGGAGCCCCCGTGAAATTGCATGGTGTCCAGATTCCTTAAACGGTTTGTTTTTGTCTACTATCATGCTAAAGCTTTCAATTGCGCAATTGCCTGAAGTCCGCGGATACTTGGACTTCATGAGTCGTCTTGGACCGGGTTAAGCACACGTACATTTCTGTTTCCTGACCCGGCTCGGGACATCAAATGGGCCATGACCCGAAGACATGCCGAGCGGCCCTGATCTCTATAGGTGTTTAGATGCTTGCAAACAATTTAAAATCACACAAACTCATTTGTATCCGCAAAAGACACCTAAGAAAAATCATTTTTGCGGCGCAAATCGTACATCCACCACGGTATTCATTTAATACGCGCGGTATTTAGAGGAGACCGCGCAGAACCTAACGAATCACAACAAACAAAAGTATTTTGACAGCTCTGTTGCTCTATGACTAACGGTGCGCATTCGAGCGACCCGCAATTAGGGCAGGCCCCCCGCCGCCGTCGTCGGGTCCTGCTGATCTCTCTGGGTGCACTATGCCTTATCGTGGTCGGTGCCCTAGCTATTGGCTTCGGAATCAAGGGCAAGGACAAGAGCAACGAAGCGCCCACTGCAGCAGAGACGGGGCCTATTTCTTCCTTGGCTGACATTACAGATGCTCTTACCCCCACTGCGCCCGATTCAGGTGAAACACAATTTGTCAAGGAGGAGAACATCAAATTTTTTATTTTTTTTTAGTGTGCTCCCTGATTTGACACTTTCTGCGAATCGGCCTTTCCCTTCTTTTTTGAGGGTTTATCCCAAACCATGGTCGACATTCCGAAGAGATGACTCAAATAATTAGAAACAAAAGGATTCAACACCTTGCACTATGGAAACCAAATCTTTGGGTCAAGTTGAAAAGAGTGCAAATTCTGACCCCTGACTGATTTAACACTTTTGAACATGCTGTTATCGAATTTCAACCCACCACAGCACCAATTACCGCGCCGGCCACCGTCGTGGAGCCTGTGAAAGCACCTGCTTCCACTGCTTCCGAATCCAAGCCTAGTGATCTTACCATTGCCACCAAAGAAGACGAGTCCGACAAATTAATATCTTTTGGGGACGGAGAGAGGAACTTCATCGGTCCATTGTTCGGTGCCCTTCCTGGCGCTGCGGCTGTCAATGGTGCTTTCAATACTCTGGCTGCCAGCGCTGCCAGTCTGGCTGGCCTGCAAGTCTGCTATCCCGAGACAGGCCCCGAGCTCAAGGCGATGGTGGAAAGCGGGAGCTCATGCAGCGTGGTCATTTTGAAGAAAGGATCCTCCTACATTTACCTTCTGCCGTCTACCGTGATGGTAACCTCTTCTGTAATTATCTTGGGCCATCCCATCGATCCTCCGCAGATCCATCCTGAGAAAGGAGTGTACCGCCTTTTCGACGTTGCGGCTGGGAGTCACATCGACATCCGCTTTGTTAGCCTCTTCCGCCCGGCCCTCCGAAACGTGGGAGGCAATCGCTCACTCATTGTCGCCGGTTGTGTGCTTGTGCGGACAGGAGGGTATTTCAGGGGCTCAGGTGTTATTTTTCGACAACAAGCGCAGACATTTGAAGGTTTTGTCAAAGGTCTCATGGACCCTCTGGCACCCAAACGTATCGTAGGCGGTTTTGTCTTGGTGGCAGGCGGGGCTTTCTTCTGCTATGGCTGTCAAATCATTCGCTGGGCGCCTTATGGCGCACCTAATATTAACCTCGTCGAAGTAGGACGTGACTATTTGGTGCTGGCCGGTACAAGTGTATGCATCGGTTGCTATCACGTTGCCTGTGCGCCATTCCAATCCTCAGTTAATGTGGGAAATGCTGTGGGGGTGTTAGGTGGCGTGGGAATTCGCGTTGGGGGTGGAACAATCGGTGCTGCCGTATTGAAGGGTCAATTTGGTAAGTCAATTTTATTGCAGGCAATTAATTAGTCGTAGTTGACCTCGTGCTTGAAAAATAGAGAAGACTTTGTACTGATGCTGAACGTATACACAGGTGCGGGAGAGAATCTTTTTGTCGGCGGGGGAGTCCTCGTCAATGTGGGTCACCAGCAGCAGACTGCTTTCGTCTGCCTCAATCGTGCTAACTTTGGTATGACAGCTGTCGGATCAGGAGTAATGGTGCTTATTGCAGAGCTCGAAAATCGTGCTTGGGGCGTTGCTGCCATCACTGGTGCTGGTCAGGTGTATTCTAATGGAGCTGGCGTGCTTGACAAGACCGGAGGAGAAGTTGTAAATTGTGCAATCTCCTTTTTCCAGGCCCTCGCGGGTGGAAGTGTTTATCTCGGCACTGGAGACATGAACATGGTGGGCGAGCAGTTTGCTCGTGTCGCGGTGACCCTGGATCAGAATGGTGTCGGGATGACCTTCTTCAACGGTGCGGGACAGACAAGTTTGATTTATGTTCCAAGTTTCGTGGCGGCAGTTGCCCGTTCGCAGAAGATTCTCGGCGCTGAGGTATGTATGAAGTATAAAAATTGAGCATGTAGACAAAAGAAAATTGTCCAAAATCGCTCTTTCCTTCTATTCAAACAGGGATTCCTGGGCGCTGGTTTCTTCACGAACGTCAACAATACACGCTGGACCATTCAAGTGGTGAATGCCGGTATTCCCGGATACGAGGGGTGGATTGGTCTCGGAGCTGCCCTCTTTGTCCGATCCCGCACGACGGTCAGGCGTGTGGTCAACTTCCGCTTCAATCCTTACGCATGGGTAGTCAACGGCCAAGGCGTGCCTGGGTCTGCGTACCGCGAGAACAACATTTTCGTCAACAAGGACGGCATTCGCATCAACAAGCCCAACCCGTCGAAGAGTCGTCTGCTTGCTGCCGTGGACGAGATGGTGGATGGTCATCTCAAGTCCAAGAGGAATACCCAGGGTCTCCTTGCGGGCATCAAGAACTTTGTGGACCGTCCGGCCGTCGTGATGGCGAACAGCGAGATGGACTCGGCGCGCATGCGTCCTCCCGATCCCCAGATCTTGGCCGGAAAGATCCTGTCCATGGTAACGTCTCTGAAGCACAAGCGCCGTCTTCAGGGTCAAGCCGTCGTCAATCCTACGCGCATGATGAACATGTTGGCTGGTCTATCCCCAGCAAAGCTTATGGAGGCCTGGAAGGAGGCTACAGAAGAGACCAACAGGAACCCCCTGCTCAGCTTGGTGCAAGGCAACAGCCGCGCGTTGGCCGAGACCGCCGATCCTACGGCGGTGGACGAGAACGGTCGATGGGCCGAGCAGGTGTACGTGGGCGGGAAGGAGACCCAATGTGTCATGTGCGGTGTGGGCCCGGGGCCTTCGTCTTCTCACTGGTCGACAGGAGGGAACGACACTGCGACTTGCCACGTGACGGAGGAGTGCACTTCCCGTAGCTCATTCCGGGACATTCTGGCAGCGGCGAAGAATGCGTTGCCGCAAAACGAGGAGCTGGTCTTGCCCCCTGTGGCGAAGGGCGTCGCAAAGGCGCTTGGATCGACGGATCTCGCGCCCAAGTACACTCGTCGCATCTTGCAGATGATGGAGGAGCACCAGGAGGCGAACCCTGGAGCGGAACCCAAGCTGCCCGACCACAACATCCTGGCGTACGAGTTGTCTCTATACTGCAATGCTGACGACGCAGACTGCAGCTTCAACCAGGCGGACATGAAGGCGGCAGTGAAGCTGTTCCTGGGCGAGCAAGCGGACGAGGAGTCAGCATTCAATGTCGCAGCTTCCACGACAGATGTGCATCCTGCTCTCATCGACTACGTGAAAGAGGCAAGCAGCGAGTTTTTGGATTCTGTGAAGGCCCCGTCCCACGGCAGCGGATGTGGCAAGGGACTGAAGTTCAACGTGCAGATGACGGCGCCGGACGCGGCCTCTGTGAAAGACTTGCAGAAGATCTTCGAGGGCGTGGCCAGCAATGGCGAGTCCTTGCTTGATACGATCAACAAGTACGACGAGCGTGACGTGCCGTTCTGCGACGTGAAGGTTAGCAAGCCATCGACGCTCTTCTTCCCGTCAATCGATACGGCTCAAGGAATCAAGTTCTACCAGGGGCTGTTTACGGGCAACGTCCTGGACAAGGGGTCTCTGTGGCCCGACGTGACGCTTGTCTCACCGCATGAGGTGGCACCCGTCCAGCACGCAGTGGTCGGCCAGCCGTACACGGTGCTTTTAGAGAACTTTGCGATGAAGGGAGACGTGGTCGTGGAGCTCTTCCAGGGCACTGAGAAGAAGGGCGT